TGTCATTGCATCACGAAGCATGAAGTGCTTAGCCTCCGTGCCTAAGTTACCCAAATACTTTCATCATGGAGTCAATAGTTGAGATGGCCTAGGAGATAGTATCGAATGACATTTGACTAAGCTCATTCAACATGCATCTTCAAACTTTCGATCTTTTTCGCGTCTTTCTTTTTCGGGAGAAAGTCGGTACCCTCCACAAATATGACGGAAAATTTTTGCTTTTTGCATTTTCAAGTCGCACGATCACATTACAATGCACACACGAGTCGTGTACACATTGAGTCATGTCGTGCCATATCACTTTGATTTGAGTCACACGTGTCATTTCACTTTGAGTCGAGTCAACCTCGAGTCGGTCAATCACATCGAGTCAAGCTTATGCCTTGAGTCGTGTCAAGTCAATGAGTCAAGCAACGTCAAGCCTTAGGTCAACCCTAAGATGATTAATGAGATTGGCAAAGTTCTATAGTCAAAATAAATACAGGTGCAGCAGAACAGGGAAGACCCTATCGCAGCGTTCGCGACGAACAGAGCAAGAAATAAAACAGAAAATTGAATTTAAAGAAGAATCCGTGCTGGCGCCAGTCCCTAAGCATTGGCGTCACTTTATGTGCTTGGCGCCAGACGCCAATTCCAGCGCCTGGCGCTAATTCCATATGTTTGGCGCTGATTGATTTTCAGCGACGACAAAGCAGCCAACCACCTGTTGGGGTTGTGCTAGCCTTCTGCAATATATTTTTTGGGGTCCTTGGTACGCCAGTTAGCCCCTCTAAGCGATTTGACATGATTAAGTAGTCAGTTTGATTACAATTGCAATAAGTGATCGACCTGATGAAAGATCGTCTCACTTAGCTTAAAGCGCCTAGGCATTGGCTCAAAAGCAGAAAAAACACCGACATACAGGTTCAAGAAAAACGAAAGCGCCGACGTACAGGCATAGCAAAAGCAAAGTTCAGGCGAACTTTTAAAGATCGACAGGCGTGGGTCTTCGGTATTTTTCCTTTGGGAAAATTATCGCAACAATTGAGGATGACTTTAAGTAAAGTTATTTTCGACAGCATTCGCTAAGATTGTGGAAGTTGTCACCAAAGATTTGAGAAGATAGCACGAGATGAGCGATCTTCGACAGCATTCGCTAAGATTGTGGAGGTTGTCACCAAAGATTTGAGAAGATATCACGAGATGGGCGGTCTTCGACGGCATTCGCTAAGATTGTGAAGGTTGTCACCCGAGATTTGAGAAGATAGCACGAGATGGGCAGTCTTCGACGACTTTTGCTATGATTGGAAAGGTTGTCACTATGATTCAAGAAAAGGCTCAAGATGTAGCAACATTGATCGACGGCGTTCCCTAGATTGCGGAAGATCGTCAAAACAAACAGCAAGGTGGCGTTCCCTAGATTGTGGAGGGTTGTCACAAAAAACTAAGGATTGTTTCAAGAGAAATGATCTTTGATGGTATTCCCTTGGATGTGGAATATTATCAATGCGAATGAGGATTGTTTCAAGAGAAGCAATATTCGATAGTATTCCCTTGGATGTGGAATATTATCAAAGCGGAGAGGATAGTTTCAGGCAAAGCAATCTTCTTATTTGGAAGCAGTTACAAGGCGTAGCGGTTTTCAAGCGGGATGACATTCTCTAGCTTGCAGGAGGTCATCAAAGCAATCAGTTACTTTCAGAGACGTGTGCTCGACGGTGCAAGATACGCGTTTCTTAACACTTTTATTTGTTTAACTAACGCTAGTTTGCAGGTATCGGCGTTATAAGAGTGATTTAGGATCGCAGAACGTTCTGAATCATTCTCCGTCCATATCGATACTTTGGCTTTCATTTTTCGAAACTTGCGTTTCTCCAAACTCAGTCAAAGTGGGGGCTTCTGTAGACACCCATTTGTGTCTCCCCAAAACCAAACCCGGTGATGAGTACCTTTCACGTCGAATCATAATCGAATGAAACGAAAGTGTGGAAAGGTCTAGTGTTGAGGAAAGTTTTATTTCTTTTCTTTTCTCTTCTTCCTGTTTTAGAAAACTTTATTTTAAGAAAACATCCAATCCAGTTTGGTTGGTCCATGATATGGGTCCAATAGTGGTGTAGTTGGATGGGGCTTGCAAAGACCTTTCCAACGATATATTATAAGCCCAATTCCGATGAATATTGAGGAATTTATGGCTAATTTACCGAACTGGGCCCGGTTTGAGTTTCAAGTACGGCCCAATGATCTAGGGGAGGGCCTAATATGATTTATCATTCCTAATGTAATTAGGAATGGTTTTGGTCTTCTAGAACATTCTAGAAGGTTCTTATCATTCTTAATTCAATTAGGATTTTTTAGAGTTTTAATTAGATCAAATAGTATTTTCGACTGAAATTATATTATTTTATCTTCCAGTACGGTAAAATTATCAGATTTTCGAAAACGTGTTAAAAACCGGTTTGGCGTCTAACCCCAGGCCTTGGCGCCTGGAACCAGGATTGGCGCCAGACGCCAGCCATTGGCGCCTGGCGCTAGCCATTGGTCCTGGCGCCAATGAGCCAGGGCTGGCGCCAAGGTGGTTCTTTGATCTTCAGACTCTGTTTTGATAAATTATCTTTTTTTGGCCGATTTTCTTTATAAATATCGTATCAAAAACTCCGTTTTTATGAATCTACAATCTACAATCAACAATCATCAACAATCACCAACATTCACTAATTTTCCTTATTCTTTATCATTCATCTAATTCATCCAATTCTCTTTATTCATCATCTTTCTTTCATCAATTCTAAATAACATTAATCTTTTAGCATTCTTTCTTTCTTGCTTTTTCTTTAATATAAAATTCCGCATTCACAAGATCTTGATACACCTAGCCATATTCGAAGTTGCCTTCGCCCTAGACGTGAAAGGTTTTAATTTCTGAGGGTTTGGTCCCAAATCTCTCTATTTCAATTATTTAATTTAGTTGCTTTGTTTATTATTTTCCTTGAAGTTACTAACGTGTGTATTTTGTAATTAGAAAGAGGTACGAGGCATCCAAGTAAGTACTTTATTGATTTTATTGATTTTATGATGTAGACATCATGTTTAGATTGTTATTATTATTCTTAGTATCATGTCTAGGGTGTTTTTAATATCAAGTATGATTAAAAGTATGATGCTTCCTATGTTCTTTCTAATATTTATGATTGATTATGTTGATTATTTATTATGTTGCTTGATATGCATATTATTGTATATTGTTATTTCTTGATCACTTTTTATTGCAGGTTAAAGGGAATTGGTATTTGCAATCACGCTTAATAAGATAATTAATAATCTTGTTAGGTTAATTGTGATTATAGATTCAAGTTATCGCCAATAATAGTTTATTTGTGCATTAAATTCAACCAACATAGATTAAACAGGTTTAGGGTTAATCCTATTGATTGTATGTTAGTTAGAAAGCGCACATGAATACGAGCAGAATAAAGTAGAGGCCTATTATTAGGGCAGGTTCAATCTCTTTTAGGTTGGATTTGTACCTTCATCCTCGAACCCTTATTTGGTTCATGACCTTATGGAGTTGACGATCTCTTGGATCGTTAAGGGGTGTAACCTTCACCTCGTGAACGGTTTACAAGTTCCTTAAAAACTTGTTGGCGACTCTTTTGCTCTATCTTCTTCCCTTTTGGACGCCACCGTACTTTAGTGTATGATCACAGTGGGGTTCAAGCTAGTGGGATTTTAAAGGCTTGAAAATATTCCCTACAGGTTCAAATTCTCTTATCAACATATTTCTTTATTTTTTAATTTAGTGATGGTGTGACATGTGGAGATGTAGGGTAGATGACATGGCGCTGTCAAATGTTTGTGAAATAATGTGGCGTCATGAATAATTGGTGAAGTGACGTGGCGTAATTTGGAGGAGGCTACGTGGAACGTATATTTTTTATAGACGCCTTTTAATATATTAGTATAGATTAGTATAGATATGTCATTCTATGTTCATATTCGTTTGTTTTAACTCTTATGTTCTTTTGGGTATTGAGCGATATAGCACATAATATTTTAATATACGTTTTTTTAATTATTAAACTATTCATCTTCAATATTATTTATTACTTTTTTTATGTTAATAACATTAAATAATTGTGTACATTTGTTTTTTAGGATCATGATGGTTGATGGAGATATTCTTTTTGGCCATCATATATTGATGATTGGTTTTAAGATCCAAAGAACATCCATAACATTTATAAAGAATATGATTATATTATGTAATTAGCACTACTTCAATTAAAATATTTAAATTTAACAAGGATGGTCCAAACAAAAATTTAAAGAATATTTTCACAATAAGCAATGAATATTATTTGACAATAAATATTTTATCCAGAGATATATTAAAGATCATAATATTAATAGTGGACATATGGAAGAAAATAAGTGCTAATAATTAATTGTACTTTACATACAAAAATAAAGTACATCATATTTTCTGATAAAGAACACTATAAAAATATATATATAGAACATCACAAGAATTACACATGACCATTATTATTATAACGAATATTGAAAAATTCCATAAAAGAATTGTTGAAAGAATATGATTGATTTTGGTAGAGATTTTATAAATTTAAGAAAATCAAATAAAACATTGGTAATTGAAATCTTAAATATGAAAAATGAATTTTTGAATTTGAATTTTTAAAATAAAATATTGAAATATTTTGAAGAAAATAATTTTGGAAACAGAAAATTATTCTGGAATCTTAATTTTTTTGAAAAGATTGTATCAATTAAAGTGGGATTTGGTTGATTCCTTTCCGAAAATTAATGAATATACCTAAAAAAAACTCGTGCTCTTTGTTTCACATCTACATGTTCTTTTTCAACTACATGTTCTTTGTTACAAAGCGAGTTAAGCACAAATTTAGGTACTCAATTCTACTATTTTTTCACCATTTAGGTACCGAATTTTTTTTGTTCACCGTTTGGGTATTGAGTACCGTTTTCCTGCAAAAAAAAATTAATTCACCCTAAGAATTCAGTATCCTTAGTTAACAATTCAGTACCTTTGGTTAACTGAAAGTGGGGCCCATCCGATTAAAAAAATGCGCGGGTTAGAATTTTTTTTACCCTTTCTTATTCTTTATTCCCCCTTTTTGCCCACTTTATTGTTTCCATTTCTGGAATATAGTTGCGCATTTGGTGAAGAGCACGAGCAAGGTTGGGGGCGATTCTGGGGAAAACGACAGTAAACGCCGCCATTTTTTTGAGGTAAGCTTAGTTACTTATGTTTTTTGTTGTTAATTTGATATATATTTCGAGTTTTTTGGGCAATTGATGATGTTATTTGCGAGTTAGGGTTTTTGTTTTTTTGGGTTTTTTGAACGAAATTGATGATGTCGATTTCTTGTGTTTTTTGTGCTAAATTTGTTGTTGTGTTGTTGTTTATTGATGGATTATGCTAGTGTTGTTAGTGGATGTTGATTGCATGTTGTATATTTTGCACAAGGGCTTGATTACATGATGTGTGTTGCGAAGTAAAACAGGGGAGGTTTAGGCTAAACTGTGTATGTGTGATTGATGGTGTTGTGTGTGTTTTTCTTGTGAATTTGAAGTGCCTAACTTCAAATAATGATCAGTGTTCTGTTTAGGGAAGAATGGCAGAGGGAGGAGCAGAAAATGAGATTCACTGTTTTGCTGATTTTTTTTTTTTAATCTGGGAAAATCGTTGTTGATGAATTTTGGCTAAGAAAACATGGCGAATCTTCCTGTTTTGATGCTACTGTGTTGCTGGTGTACTCATGGCATTTTTTTGCCAAGTTCAACCCTCTTTATAAGTTTATATAGACAATAACGACTAGTTTGATCTTTCCACGTATATTTAATTTGTTTGTTGCCTGCGTTTTATTTATTGGGCAGCGTTGTTTTTACCCGGCTCATGGTACACCCGAGTGTACAAATCAATGATTAGGGCCTGTTCTCATACGTTGAAATTCAGTTCAGTTAAGTTCAGTTCAGTTCAGCTCCTAATTTCCTTCTCTTATAAAATATTCAGTTCAGTTCATTTCAGTCAATGAGAACATACCCTTAGTCAAAATAATCCTTGTTTACCTTTTTTTTTTTTTTTTTTGACTCAAATCCTTGTTTACCTCTTTTGAAGTAAGAATGATCCTTCCTTACAAAAAAAAAAAAAAAGAATCATCCTCGACCGTTGATAATGTTTAGATCTGACGATTCAAATACTCTTCCTCCTGCCTCTTCACTTTTCTTCCTGTTCCAATGTTAAACCTCCTTTCTCCTCCATTGAAGCTACTCTAAAACCTCCATTAAAGCGGTTTATGAGCTTTCTCTCCTCCTAAATTCTCCATTAAAAGTGGCTCCTGAGATTTTTGCCCACCAAAGAAGCAGCTTCTTAGGTGAGGGTTTATTTTTTTTTTATTTTTTATTTTTTATTTTTTATTTTTTTTTTTGGGTGTGTGTGTAACATTAATTTCATAATCTAGGGTATATACCCATATTTTTATTTGTCGGTATACTCAATTTAGGGTTCTTCTAAGGTGGATTATTGCAATATTCACTATAATGATGATAGTTATAACTAGTGATTTTGTTCCAGGGTTTTGCGTTGATAGAAATTAAGCCATAAGAAGCTTGGAGCTTTTAACTGTTACACCGCGCTTCTTTCTCTCTTTCTCCATTACATGGTCTTTGAATTCTCCATTGAAGTGGCTTCTGAGCGCTCTCTCGTCCCTTGAAGCAGCACCGGTAAGATTAACCAATTCTATTCCAATTCTTCTTTATTCTCATAAATAATTTGTCATCGTATATCAATATCAAAATGTAGTGTTTATTGTTATTTTAATTATCTGGGTTTGGATTATTGAACTATTTGGTTGTAAAACTCAAGTTATGAAATATTATAACTAGCCATTTCATTGCTAGAATTTAACTAATGTACAATTTTACATTGATTAGTTAATTAAAAAATAAAGAATTAGAAACGAGAGTTTGAGGAAATCAGGAAAAGTAAATTTTCAAATAGTTTGGGAACATGGAAATGAAATATTGATATAATTTAGGTGATGTTTGGTTGGCATAAGAAAAATATGGGAATTAAAAAATCATAGGAATTGAGGTGGTGAAGTTGAAAAAAATGAATATAATTTATACATCAATTTGTCAAATATGTTCTCTTCTCTTTACAATTCGAGTAATTTAGTCTTTGCACACTAGTGGAAAAAATCTTATTTGCAACAAGCTATTCGTAACAAGCAGCTCCCGCGTCCTCACCTCCCTCAACTCCATTGAAGCAGCGCCCATTTCTCTCTCTTGCTTTTGCTCCTCTAATTCTCACTCTTCTCCTCCATTGAAGCGCACTTTGAGTTCTCCACTATTGAAGCGCACTCTGAGTTCTCCATTGAAGCACACTCTGAGTTCTCCATTAAAGTGCACTCTGAGTTCCTCTAGTCGCGACTCCCTCTCTCACTCCCAAGCTCTCTCCATTGAAGCAGCTCAAGCTCGGTCCTGCTTAAGAAATCCCCATCAATAGCTTCCTGTAAGCTCAATTTGATGCTATCTTTCTCTCTCCTCCCCCAATTTCATAACCCTTGTTCAGTTTGCTTAATTGCAATTAATTGTTCTGGAGGAAACTGGAGAGATTACTAGCTCGAATTCATTGTTTTTTTTTTTTTTTTTTGCAATTGAGCAAAATTTACGAGTTAATTAGGTCATTTTCTGCAATCTTTTGCCAATTTGTTGATGATTAGAATGAATGCAGTTTATGTTATGCTGTTGATGATTGAATTGGTTAAATTTGGTTTGCTCAGACATTTGATATTTAAATTTGGTTAAATTTCTGCACAATCACCTGTTTCTTAGATAGCATGGTTAAGTTTGGGTCATAATCTTTCTCAAGTGAGTAGCCTGATCTCCTGTTGTGATAGAGAAAAACTATTTTAATTTAGCAAACACCTCCTTCCATGTATGATTAGCCATATTTGGACCAAAATTTCTGTTTATGTGAACATGTATAGTAACAGCTTAAAGGTTAAATGAACTGTTTGTTTTCATTAACTTATTTTCAAGCCATGAATGTTTCCTTGAATTTCAATATTCTTATGTATATATGGTACTAAACATGACAGAACGTCTTACATTGCTGTTTCTTCCAACTTGTTTACCTCTGTTGTCAAGTCAGGTTGATAGCCTCTGTCAAACTACAATTTGCACAATGTATCCTAAAACAGTTGTCTGATTATCCCCAGCTTGCTAAAGTTAGTCTTGTATAAAGAGTTATGATGTTGACTGAAGTTCTTCATTATACGTGCTAAAGTTAGTCTTATGATTTATCTGCTCTAGCCTACATTTACACTACAGCCAAGGGTGTACATTTGTAGCTGAAATTCTGCTGTGTTTGATCTTAGAAAATATTCTATCATGATCTATTTGTAGGAATGACTTGCAAATGCTTTAAAGTAATGAGAGTAGGAGAACATTGGTAGTACTTGAATTATTTTCAGTGTTCAACTAAACAGAAGCAAATAAGCTTATTTCTAATCTGATGCTCTGACTGTCAGTGACGCATTAGAAGTCGTCTTCCTTTCACAAAACTCATCAGATACCCTAAGATTATGTATGATATACTCTAGAATTCTGTTTACTGCTAGGTCTGCTATTTCATATGTTACTGTCTTTGTTTGATCTTGTTAAAACAATTCAGTTTAAGGGATTTATGTCTGCTGGTGTAAACACTCATTGTGAACACTCATTTATGTCCCTATTTTTCTCCTTGAAGCATGTGTAAATGTAGGGAGTGTTTGTTCCTACTCTAGTTTTTAATTGCTCCCTTATTTAGCCTACAGACATCTGGAAGGTACTGTAAAAATATAGGTTTTATTTGTACTTAATTAATTATAGGTTTTATTATATTTTCACCCTAATTAATTGATTGATTTTACTATGTTTCCATTTGTTCTGGGTTTATTATGTTTTAGTTTAAAAGCCTTTTAATTATAGGTTTTATTATTTGATTTTACTACGCTTTAGTTACGGGTGGCGTTTTTTCCACTAGTCGCACATCAGGCGGATATGAGGATGCAAACGGTTGTTTTATCGATTATTGATGGAATGCTAAAGGATAGTAGATATGGTGATGCATTTAAAATGATTGAAAGAGAAATTAAAAAAGAAAAGACCAATCCGACAAGTGTGGATTTCCTTCGTTCTTTAAATGAAATTGTTTTTACGTAATTTGTTAATTTACGAAGTATGTCATGTTATTTGACGGATAACTTATATATAATTTAATTATTATTATGTTGCTTGATGATATTTATTGTTATTGCTTGATCACACCTTGCTTGGTAATGTTTATAGTTATGATTGGGACGGCAATGATTGGCTTAGTAAGTTATTATTATTATTATTATTATTTTTTTTTGTTATTTCTTAAATTTGTGAGATATATTTAATATATTTATTTCTTGTTGTAGAGTCGTGGGAAGCTTTTCAGATATGCATTTCCTTACATGGGGAAGATTATAATTTTGATCGTGTGGAATCTGATTTACGTTACGGGTTTGTAATGGACTGTTTTTTTACCTATTACAGGGTATTTTATAAAATTTTTACCTATTCATTCCAGGAGATGATGAATAATATAAACTTGGGAAAATTGGGTAATTATGAATAATAATGTTACTTATTTGTTTATGTAGGTTTTGTTTGTATAAAAATGGGATGCTTTAGGATGCCCTTGTTGCCTTTAACAAGGGGTTAAGTAAGTCTGAAATAGATTCGTTTATAAAAGCTGCCCTAGAGAGTGGTATCTATTTTACATCAAATGAACTGGAAGAGAAAGAGAAAGATAAAGAGAAAGATAAAGCAGAAGCTGTGGAAAATGGTATGATAATCAAAATTATAAATTTTCAATTTATTGTTCTGGAGAAAACTGGAGAGATTACTAGCTCGAATTCATTGTTTTTTTTTTTTTTTTTTTTTGCAATTGAGCAAAATTTACGAGTTAATTAGGTCATTTTCTGCAATCTTCTGCCGATTTATTGATGATTATAATGAATGTAGTTTATGTTATGCTATTGATGATTGAATTGGTTAAATTTGGTTTGCTCAGACATTTGATATTTAAATTTGGTTAAATTTCTACACAATCACCTATTTCTTAGATAGCATGGTTATTGAGCAATTAGGTTTTGATGATTATAAACTAATGATGATTATCTATCTAACGTGTATGTTAAGTTGTGCATAGAAAGAGCAAGTTATGCTTGGAATAGGATACAAGGAACCTGAGTAATGACAGGTATATATGTAAGGAACTTGAGCAATATAGGATAAGCAATAGAGGAACAAGAACAACGATAAGTGTTATGGTTGATAAGCATGATGATGGCTAAGGAACCATGAAGGTAACTATGTAAACATGTGTTTACATATGTTAGCTTCATAAGGTAAGTATCCTATACATATATAGGTTATGTATGTGTAGGAGTCTTTTAATTTAGTTTAGTTTTCTTTATTGTTTTTATAAACAAAAAACTAACCTTCTGTTTTACTTTGTTATTCTCAGAAGTTTGCTCAGTTCGTCATCATCAAAAAGGGACAACTTGTTGACCCTTATGAGGTTTTGATGATGATGTTAAGAATTGAGCAAACTTCCATTTAATAAGGATTTTCTAGTGTTGTGATGTTTGCAGGTTCAGAGGGCTGAAGTAGGAACTGAAACAGAGGAACTTTAGAGGATCCATGAGGATACAAGTAAATTTAGAAGAAGAGTTCCAGAAATGGAACTTCCAGAAGTTTCTTAACAGGAACTTCGAAACGGGTTGTAACGACCTGGTTCCGGTGGTTCCGGTGTAATGCTGGGGCAAACCCTAAGATCCAGAATATATCAAGACTACAGGATTCCAGAACAAGAGTTTCAGAGAAGCAACATGAAGACAGAGAAATAGAAGTATATTGCTCTAGACTGTCGGAGTTCAGGAACCTAATAGGAACTTAAGTATGCACGTCGTTAAAAGTCGGTTTTAATGATATATATATTTACCTTATACGTGCATATATTTTAGGGATTTGGTTTTACTGAATAAAGATATTTATCTTCTAATAAATCCCTTTTGGAAAAAGATAAGATTGTTTAAAAAGTATTTTAAACAAAAAGATAAGTTTTGAATAAAATCTGATTTTATGCTAAGTTTATCTTATTATTATTGACAGTTTTTATTCTTAACAAAAAGATATATTTTCGGAAAACTGATTTTTAGAAAATATCTTTTAAACTTATCTTTTCAGAAAATCTATCTTTTTCAAGATGAAATGAATAATTCGAGTGTACTATAAATATGCTCATATGTATTCATTCAAAGTTCAGGCTGACGAAGTGTAGTGGTCGTGCTTAATGGTTTTATCCTTCACCACGAAGCTAAGTCAGTCCTCCTGGTTAAAGTTCCTATCAGGTTTTTGGTTACAGTACGTCCAGTGAGTTCCAGACAGATCTTGAGTGTTCAACATATTAGTTTTATCTCTTTATTCATAGATATGTATTTAAGGATATTCAATGAGATCTTGTAATGGGAAAAAGGGTTTTGAGTGTTTTGTATTTTGGGGTGAGATTGTGAATTCTCTTAAATTCACGTTTGTGATGAGTTTGAAATCTCATAAAATTCGAGTGGTAGTTAGTCACCCCGAGTGTGTCTTGGGTTGCACAGTGAGAAAAAGGTGTCTTAGGTCGAGAAAGGAACTTGAGTGTGTCTTGGGTCGAAAAAGGTGCCTGAGTTTGTCTTAGGTCTGATAGGATAGGTTCTTATCAATCAGCAAGTGTCTTAGGAGGAACTTGCGAAGCAAAGGTCTGTGTAATAGGTTGTACTAGGAGAGTTGCCTATTATAGTAGAATTTGTTTATAAGTCCCAATGGGGCCGAGGTTTTACTTCCAGTTGGGCACTGGATGGTTTCCTCGTAAAACTTGTTGTGTGCTTTAAGTTCCTTTATGTTTGTTTTTAATTTCCGCATAAGTTCCGCGATTGTAACCTACTATCATTCACCCCCCCTCTTGTAGTAGTTCATCTAAACTAACAATGGTTAAGTTTGGGTCATAATCTTTCTGAATTGAGTAGCCTGATCTCCTGCTGTGATAGAGACAAACTATTTTAATTTAGCAAACACCTCATTCCATGTATGATTAGCCATATTTGGACCAAAATTTCTATTTTTGTGAACATGTATAGTAACAGATTAAAGGTTAAAAGAACTGTTTGTTTTCATTAACTTATTTTCAAGCCATGAATGTTTCCTTGAATTTCAATATTCTTATGTATATATGGTACTAAACATGACAGAACGTCTTACATTGCTGTTTCTTCCAACTTGTTTACCTCTGTTGTCAAGTCAGGTTGATTGCCTCTGTCAAACTACAATTTGCACAATGTATCCTAAAACAGTTGTCTGATTATGCCTTTTTAATGCTAAAACTCATATAATATTAACCTTTTTATGCTTAATTTAAATCTTATGTAGAGAACATGAAACGACTTATTGAAGATGAGGAGATGATGAAAAAGAAATCAGAATATCGCAACAATAAGAAGAGGCAAAAAGAAGAAAAGGAGAAGAATGTAACAGACCTTGTCATGCTCAAGGAAAGTATTAGGTTAGTTATAATCTCAAAAATAATCTTCCTGACAACCACCCTTACTTCCTACCCCTCCTATGCAACCTTTAATCTAGGATGCACAGGCTTTTATAAAAAATTATATAAACTTTTTCCTTCTTCGTGAAAGTGACATGGGCACGGGCATCGAAGAGGATAACGGAGCTAGTTATCCTATCTTAGATAGATGGCAACCTGTCGAGGTAAATTATTCATTATACTCGATCTATTTATTGTTATGTATGATGTAACTACAAAATTCTTGCATATTAGTAGAAAGAAAAAACAGATGAAGCTTTTTGGACCTTTAATAGTCATATGAGCATAAATAAGATTTGAGTTGTTTAATTCACTAGAGTGTAACTATTCAAGTTAAAATTTCGTAATTGATTTTTGTGTGTGATTTAGTTATTTGCATGTTTTTTTTTGTTTGAATAGAACATGGCTTTCGCTTTGGCTTTGGAATTGTTTTGTTTTCTTTTAAATCTGATAATAATGTAGTTTGGTTTTTAAATTTTGTAGTTCAATGTGCCCTATAATGTCAGACTAGAAGAAAATAGTGGCGAACATTACTTCATTGGTACCCTACAAAGTAACTTCTACAAGCTCAAAAAGTCTTTCATAAAAGCATCTAGCCATCAATCTAACAGTTGTGAAGAGTTAGTATCATTGTGCAGCAAACACGAAAGTTTAATAAATGTTGAACACATAATATCAAGCCCCTTTATCACGTTTGAGAGATATATAGTAACCGATTTAGTGTATTCTCTGGAGAACTTTTTTGATCTTGAGTATCAGAAACTCAAGAGTACTGACAAATTTGCTGATGAGACATTAATTTGGAAAATGTGGTGGGAGCATATTTCTAAGATTTTCTAGAGAATCTTTAGGTAAACAATTCCTTTCTTCACTTATTTATGAGAAATTATACGCGATACTCCTACTTGAATCAATGTACCAATCCTTACATATTGATTTAATTTTTCTTTTGCAAAAAACAAGTATAAAAGTTATATCTTCTTTGAATTCAAGCATTGTAAGTTACATTGTTTGCTTATATAACTCTGATAATGTTAACTAAATGAGTTTGTAGCGTGGCTCTTTTTAGATTGGGTTTATAACCGAGCAAATGTTCATATTGCATACCTAAAAGAAGCATATACTATATATGTAAGACTAAAAATTGACAAATTATGATGCCATGGAAATAATATTATCAGTAAGGGTTAAGGGTTACACAGAGAATTTTAAAAGCAGTAAAGTATTTGTTTATTCATTATAAGAATTAAATGTTTCTAACACATAAATTATATGTTCATTAATTATGTTTTTGGTCATTGTAATTGTAGGGATGTGGCTAGAGGTTTGATGTTTTTGCATGAGAAAACTGATTACGTTTGTGGGGATTTATCATTCAACACTTACGTGACAGTTGGTGGTAGGGGGTGAATTCTACCCTCCTTGGATAAGTCCAAGAAAGATGCAGTAGATGTGACTCAATTTTTTCACCTACTGAAGAATATTGTATATTTTCCTTTCTTGGGAAAATCTACTCCTGCCATTGCTCTTCCGAGTGACTTGAGTAAACTCTTGAATTTCATTCCCTGCATTCAGTAAGTTTCATCATTGTCGTCATCATCATGGAAAACTCATAACCATTATTGCATGAAATTTTTTTATCCTTAATTGATTTTCTAGATGATGGATTTTTAATATTCATTTGCACCTATTCTTGATGGTGAGAGTCAATTGAAGTTTTGTTCTTGGTTCCTTAGGTGTTCTTGTTAGATTCCACCACCCGTTTAAATGCATATAGTTTGACATCTATAACCGATTTTAATTCTAGAAAGTTCATAAAAGACTTGCTGTTTTTCTGATTTGTAAGTTGCTCTTCAATTTCTGATTATAGGATTTTTGAGAATCGTAAGTTCTCCTTTTGTAGTTTTTAGCTTCTTTACTACTCCAGTTGTCTTTTGATGGTTTTCTTAATATCCATTTCTGCAAATATATGAGATTGGAATTTAAGGAGGGTATGGTTAAGAAAAGCATTAATCTTGCATAGGGATGAAAAGAGGTTTTGCTTCGAGTATGATGAGTGGATAGAATTATATCAAAGTTGAATTTTATGTTGTCTAGCGTAGAGATATTGCGATGTTACAAAATTTATATTGTGTTGTCCATGCTTGTGTTAAGATAACTATTATCCTTGTTATCAGCATTCGTGATCAAATTGTGTTCTTGATTGTTATAGTTAGTTTTCAAGTTTCACATTTATATTACTACATATGTTGTTAGTTTTTAATGTTTCACTTTTATTTTAAAGCTTAGGTTGTGTGTTAGCTGATGCTTACATATTAGGTTCATGTTTAATAAGGTTATAAACTTGAATACATTTCTGTTTCTGATGTGTTTTGTTTTACTTTAGGAAGAAACCGACATATGTTGTTATTAATCGTCCATTTTTTTGGACGGTTCAAGAGAAAATTGAGATTTCCGTGAAGTGTAGGAGGTTTATCAAAAAGGAATCACACATAGAGAAGGCTCTTGAAGAGATGTTCACTGAAAATTCTATTTTCAACAAATGGTGGACTGGACTTGATGGTGTTTATAAAGCGTTATATACAACTGCTGAAAACAAAAGGGATATGGCTAGTTACCGTTACAATGTGGATATTGTACGATTTTTCAATGCGGCTTATTCCCACATTAATGACACGATCTACGAGAGAGCGCAACGGGGAGGTTTGTTTATATTTGTGTGAATGTAACATGCTTGATTTATGTTATTATATATTGTATTTCTTATGTTTTCTTCGTTGTGGCAGAAATATACTGATGTTCAGATTGAGAGTGGTTTGATGGCATATTTTCCTGATTTTTACGATGTTATAACTGAATTTGTTTGTCAATGTATAAATGCTATGTAAGTGTGCCTAATTTGACTTTTCAATTCATTATCTCTAAAAAGAAACAAATACTAAAAGAGCTTGTACATATTTGTTATTTATAGGATAATAGTAAACGATGTTTTTTTTTTTTTGACAGGCAAATAAGAAAAGATGAAGAGATGAAGGAATTCTACAATTTACTTCCGAGTTGATCATCGATGAGGTAGGTTTGATTTTGAGGCCTACATTCTAGAATCTGTTCAACAATAAATCTACCAAATACATGGTCATAGTTCATAGTTGTCTTTCATTTCATATCAAAAAGCAGCCTCCACTAGGCAGACCTCTAATTAAAGGCTTTCAAAGTTTACTGCAGTATTATATTTTTCCCGCACCTAACAGTCCCTTTGCTGTGTTTCAACTCAACCTGTAACATCTGTTGGTTTGCTGTTATTCAGAACAACTGCCATACCTCAATCTGTCAGGAACATTCTGTGCCAAATTTGAATTAATTTGTCTATGTTATTTGCACTCAAAACCAATGTTAGGATCTCAACTATCTCTTGAAATGTAGAGACCTAATATTAAAGAGTATAGTAATTGCCTACCAACAGAATTGCAACTTAGCTTGTTTTACCAGAAATAACATTGGAACACTCATATAGACAGATGCTCTGGTTCCCCACTGCAACCTGCAATCACTGTTGGTTTATGCATTGTTACTCAGAAAAGGTTTATAGCTGGTTAATTTGTGAATGGAATCATCTTGGTGTTGTTCAACAAGTACCAGGAGTAATAATATCTTTACTATTTTTATCAGTGGTAGGCTTATCTTTTACTGCAGATTTTCTAATGACCCTGCTTAATTCTCTGATGCCAATCATGTCAAAGGCTGGTTCTTGTGGAGGCGACTTTGTCAATATAGGGCGCAACTCAAGCTCTGAAATTTCATCAAGCTTGTTAAACTTCTAAAACTTTAGCACAAATACTCTATTTTGTTTAGTCTTAAAAATCACATATATCAATTTTGTTTCTTCACCATTTCTAGATATACAGTATGTGCTTGGTTTTATATGAAACTTTTGTTTCACCTTGTATGACCTTGTTACTATTCATGTTAATATTTGAACTATTACATTAGTGAACCACAGAATCTATTGATATCAATTCTATTAGCAGGTTTGTAAATGATAAAATTGCAAGACCATAAATGATTTTTCGCGACTGTATTTTTGCCCGTCGCAATTGGCTTCTTTAATGGGATTTTGGCCATAATTTGCTTTTGCGACGGGATTGTGACAGGGAATACATTCAAGGACAGGCTCACGATGGGAAGATTAGATCCTCTGTATCTCTTTTGCAGCTAACTCCAAAACAAGCCTTTCGCTTGCTTTCTCATAAATTTCATGGATAAGGGCATGGGAAAACGAAACAGGAAAAGCAGACGAAACAGTATTGCGATGAACTGTAGCAAAAGCAGATGAAGTAGGAGATAGCTCAATAGATTGGAATAATGCTTGCTATAAATTCAGGGCGATTTTTACCTTGACTTTTGTAGTACATTCAAAAGTTTGAACCACTACTACTAAATAAAGTACTTCGGAAAATGTGGTAAACTCTAGCTTTTGAGGTACTGTTTTGTAAAATCCTACCAAAATCAGTTTCTGTGATAGTGTTTTGCAAAAGTTAATAAATGGAGTTTGTAATATCTGGTTTATCAAATGTGTGTCTATGAGCACGCATAAAGAAAGCATAATTCATACGAAGTATCAGTACGTCGTATTTGATAATGAGGGATATTTGTAAGTTTCCAAATGATTGTTTTATTATTTGTTAGGAAAATTTGATTCTAATAATCCAGCCTTTCGCCGGTCTTAGTTTATTAATCCCACCTTTCGATTGTAGCTGATTAATCCCACCTTTACACCCCATTCTATTTTATCAGGCCCAACAGGTCATCCACCTTCTATAATAGGTTGTCAGTCCACGTGTCATGCTATGATTGGTCTAAAAATAATTTTAATTTTTTTTATCACTTTCATTTCCTCTTTCCTTTCCCCTACCCTTACCCTCTTTCCTGCCCCTTACCTCCATGAAATTCGGCTGAGCCGCTGTAGGGAATATTTCAAGCGTTAATCCCCTAGCTTGAACCCCACTGTGATCATACACTAAAGCACGGTGGCGTCCAAAGGAAAAGAAGACAGAGCAAAAGAGTCGCCAACAAGTTTTTTAGGAACTTGTAAACCGTTCACAGGGTGAAGGTTACACCCCTTAACGATCCAAGAGATCGTCAACTCCATAAGGTCTTGAACCAAATAAGGGTTCGGGGATAAAGGTACAAATCCAACCTAAAAGAGATTGAACCTGCCCTAATAATAGGCCTCTACTTTATTCTGATCCTATTCATGTGCGCTTTCTGACTAACATGCAATCAATAGGTTTACCCTAAACCTGTTTATCTATGTTGGTTGAATATTAATGCACAAATAAAACTATTATTGGCGATCACTTGAATTATAATCAAATTAACCCTAAACAAGATTATTAATTATCTTATTAAGCGTGATTACAAATATAGATTCCCCTTAAATATGCATAAAAGGCGTGATCAAGCAATAACAATACATATCAAGCAACATAATCATAATAATTATAATCATCATCATAAAATTATAATAAAAATAAATTATCATTAAAATAATCATAATAATAATCAAAAACAATAATCATCATAATAACAATCATATTAATCATAATAATAATCATGTTAAAGCATAGCAAGATCCTAGGCATGATACTAACAAGATTAATAACAAACCCTAGCATGTCACTAAGCAATAAAAATCATATATTTAACCCTAACATGATACTAACATGAATAAATATTAGGAAGAACATAAAAGGCATCGTAACATGATACTAGGAACCATAATAACAACCTAAGCATGAACTCTATATCATAACATCAATTAAACCATTAAAGTACTTACTTTGATGCCTCGTACCTCTTTCTAATAACAAAATACACACGTTAGTAATTTCAAGGAAAATAATAATCAAAACAATTAAATTAAATAATTGAAATAGAGATTAGGGACCAAACCCTCAGAAATTAAACCTTTCACGTCTAGGGCGAAGGCAACTTCGAATATGGTTAGGTGTTTCTAGATATAATGAATGCGGAATTTTTATATTTGAGAAAAGCTAGTTTAGAAAAGAGTGAGAGAGAGAAAGAGTAATCAAGAAAATATTGACGAGAGTTGGTAGATCAAAACGGAGTTTTTACAACGTTATTTATAAAGAAAATTAGCCAAAAAGATAAAATATCAAAACAGAGTTTTGGCGCACGTAAAACCTGATCAGCGCCAACGCTGGCTATTGGCGCCAGGCGCCAACATTAGCACCAGGCGCCAACATTAGCGCCAGGCGCCAATGCTAGCGCCAGGCGCCAAGCGTAGCGCCAGGCGCTACAGCTGGCGTTTGGCGCTGATTCAGAAAATCACGCGTTTTCTTAAAATCAGATAAAATTTGCCGTAGAGGAGGATAAAATCGTATTTCCCTCAAAAATACTCTTAGATTTTAATTAAAACTCTGAAAAGTCAACAAAAGTCAATTTATCAATGCTAATTGAATAAGGAATGAAAAGAATCTTCTAGAAGAATCTAGTAGACTAAAACCATTCCTAATTGCATTAGGAATGATAAATCTATATTAGGCCCTCCCCTAGATCATTGGGCCGCATATAAGGCTCAAACCGAGCCTAGTTTAGTAAATTGGCCATAACTTCCTTAATATTTACCGGAATTAGGCTTATAATATATCGTTGGAAAGCTCTTGTCAAGCCCCATCCAACTACACTACTATTGGACCCATATCATGGAACAAACAAACTGGATTGGTTGTTTTCATAAAATAAGTTTTAAAAACAGAGAGAAGAGAAAAGAATTAAAACTATCTGCAACACTAAACTTTCCACATTTTCACTTCATTTGATTATAGTTCGAAGTGAAAGGTACTCATCACTGGGCTTGGTTTTGGGGAGACAAAAATGGGTGTCTACAGAAGCCCCCACTTTGACTGAGTTTGGAGAAACACGAGTTTTGAAAACAAAAGTCAAAGTTTCGATAGGGACGGAGAATGATTCAGAACGTTTTGCGATCCTAAATCACTCTTGTAACGCCGATACCTGCAAAATAGCATTAGTTTAAACAGATAAAAGAGTTAAGAAACGCGTATCTTTCACCGTCGAGCACAAGACTCTGAAGGTAACCGATTTGCTGCCGCATTGCTGTTGTTTTGATGACCTCATGCCAAGAGAATGCCATCCCGCTTGAAAACCGCTACGCTTGTAACTACTTCCAATATAGAAGACTGCTTCGCCTGAAATGATCCTCCTCCGCTGTAGACACCTAAAAATGTCTCCCCAAAACCAAACCCGATGATGAACAACCTTTCACCGCCATTATTGGTCGGGTTGAGTATGTAATCTTTGGAGTGCTTAAATCCATGTTCATTCCCAATAAATTTCATAAACCAACCCAACTTCTAGCCCATTTCCCCAAACCATAACTTATTTTCCTCTTTTCGTGCCTTTAAACCCAAAATAATTCATTTCGTGTCCTTTTTATAAAAACGTTTTATCTTGTTTATTTTGGTCCATAATCTGGGTCCAATGATTAAATAGTTGGATAGGGCTCTAAAAGAGATTTCCACCGATATATTATAAGCCCAAATCCGAGTTATAACGAATAAGTTATGGCCAAAATATTAAACCGAGCCCAAACCAAACCTAAGCCCACCTTACCTACGACCCAGTGATCATGTGGAGGGTCCAAATGATTTAATCCCAATCCTAAAACAATTAGGATTAATTAGAAACTTCTATAAGTTTCTAAAAGATCTTAATTATCCTTTTTATAAAGATAAGATTAAAGAATTTGAAATTGAATAAAACTCCTTTTTTGAAAGTCCTAATTTTATTCGAATTGAAAGACGTTCAAACATAGACAGATATTATTTTCGTGGCACATATTTTTTATCCAAATTTTATATGGTTGTATAACCCTTAAAATTATCTTTCCAATGATTATTATAATATCAATTCCGAGCTATAACGGAAAAGATATGAATAAAATGTCAAACTCTATCCAAAACTGACACCGTCTAACTATTTCGGTCATATCTTTTATTCCTTCATTCCTTAAGCACTCCCTATTTAGCCTAAACACTAGCCTCCCTATTCTTTAATTCCTTCCTTAAGCACTCCAAGGAGTTCATACAATACCCAAAGTTCTATACTTTAACCAAGGCGTGAAAGGTATAAATAACGTGCTGAATGTAAGTAATTAATTAAATTAATTACTCTTATTTTATTTTATATTGCTAGTATCATGATTAGGTTATTTTATATTTGATTTGACTAACACTATTATTGTTAAATTGCTTCCAATATTAATGTTTATTTTATTATATTTATTGATTACCATATTGCATGTTTAAGGGGAATATGTAATTGAAAATCACGCCTAATAAGATAATTTGGACAATCGGTTTAAGTTCCTTTTTAATCTTATTGTTTAATCAAGTGGTCACATTATTTTAGAATTATGTGTTGCATTAATATTCAACCAATTTAGCTTAATAATAGTTTGGAGCAAATTGAATTTTTGTTTGTATGCCTTTGAGATCGCAGAACTTTTTACTATAAGAATCGAGTAGAGGCCAATATGGGCGAATGTGACTCCATGACTCACTTCGTACCATCATCCCCGATCCTCCTTTCGTGGTTCCGAACCATATGGAGTTAGTAATCTCATGGATTATGAATGGGGTGTAACCTTCACGAGTCAATCGTTGTTGCCTATCGTTGTCCCTTATCGTGGTTGCCTTTTATGATCCGTGAACGGTTTACAAGTTCCTTAAAAACTTGTTGGCGGCTCCCTACTTTATTTGTCCCTAATCATTGTCCCTAATCGTAATGTCAATTCCCACTTCCTATGAGTGCCAAGCATATTCACAACATGCTTTAACGTAGGCGCACTTCGAGCGACGCCTACAATTTTGCGACTCCACTGGGGAGGATTCTTGGTTATTTATCGATTTGAGTGATCGGTATTTAATTAAGATGAGTGGATGAGACTTGAAA